TACCCTGGTCAAGTAACTTATTATAACGTTATTAAGCACTCACCAACTCTTCCAAGAACTCATATAAAATGGTAACATTAGGTTTGAATTTTCGAACCGGACTTTTCGTCAGGTTCGAGTCCAGTTCAAACTCGAACTGAACCAGACTTTTTTTCGGAATCCTAATGGTAACCAACGAGGCTATCAAAGAATATAAGCCTCTGATAATCACCAATACTGTCCGTAAAGAAATCACGAAATTACATGAGTTTTCAAATGTCGAATACCTGAAAACTCAGAAGGTTACTAATATCAAATTAAAACTCGTAGAATCAATGAATTCGTATCTTATTGGAGATGCTAATTTAAATACAGATATTCAAAACGCGATTAAGTTCCTCATTGAAAAAAATTATCAAGTTGAATGGTTTGCTGTTCTGAAATCATTTTATCAAGGTTTCTGTTTCGCAAATTTTGAGCAATTAAAAAAACTCGTACAATACGGATGGCTAACACTGATTGATTCGACGCATAATACAAATAAACATTATTGGTGTTTATTTACTCTCTATGTTCATGATAGTTGTGGTAGTTGGGATATTGATGCGTATTTTTTCGTCAGTAACGAGAATAGTGAGGTGGTTTCAGTGGCACTAAAAATCATTAGAAAATTTGCTCCTCGTTGGAGATCACGTTATATGTTGCTTGATCAAAGCAGTATAGAAGCGAATAGTATTTTAATCACTTTTCCCAGTCTTCCAATAGGGGAACAAGAGTGTGATGTCCTCCTTTGTACGGTACACGTTATACAAACATGAATTAGAAACATCTATCATGGATCAACTCTCAACACAATGATTCATGCCATGCATAAAAAAACACAAATTGGCTGCGAAGCACTTCTTCAAGATGCTATAACTAATTGTCCTTTACAGGCAAATGCGAGATATATTTCGTGAAATTACCTGAAGAATTCGAAAAAGTGGGCACTTTGGACGTGGCAGCACTCACCTTTCCTCCTTCAAGTAACTTCTATGAATCCCCTCAAATCATACCATAGTGAACTTAAAACAAGAACCTTTGTTTCACATGGCCTTATTGGTAGATGAATTATTTTATTTGTTTTTATTATTGAATATTTTGTTCTAATTTCTTTTTTTTCTTTGCTTCCTTCATTCCTTTCTCCCTCCCCAAAAAAATCTCTCAATCTTATCGTTTTTTCATCCTTTATTTCATCCATTACTTTTTCTTTCTCTTTCTCTATGAGACGCGTGTCATATGATCTTGGAACTCGATAAAAAAAGGGAAATAATAGCAAAAGAAGTCACCATCAATTTTCGCACTAAAAAAATATCTATTGCCAATGTAAATCCCAAAGTTCTCGCTGAAATCCAAAAATTTACCTTTTCTGTCCAGAAACTCATTGCGGAAGAGGCACATGCCGTCTCGAAGCATTTGCAAGAAGGAAAAGAAGCCCCAAATCTCACGATTGCAGAATGTGATTGTAAATTTTTCAATCATTATATGCTACCCTGTCGCCATATTTTTTACAAGCAACTCTGTAGTGATATAGATATCCTGACACCTGAAACATGAAGAAATTTTCAAGAAACTTTTGAAGAGTGTGGTTTGGAGATATACCAGTTTTGTGGTTTAGTAGAAATATCCCAACCTCAATTAGAAACGGAGATGACTATAGAAAAAAATCAACTATTAATGAATGAGTTATTTGAAAGAGCTAGAGATCGATATTATAGCTTGGTGAATCGAGATAATACAGAAGAAGTGGTAAAATTTGTTACAAATTTAGGAGAGGCTTTAGAGTCTATTCTCGAGTAAGAAGTAAGGTTGCTTGCCGAAATCCCTTAGTGACTGTCTAAATTCTGTCAAAATTATAATAAACTATTAGTAAATAACCCGTCGAAATTCTGACGAATTTTGAAACCCGTCGTAACCGAAATTATGTCGAAATTCTAATTAATAATTAGTGTGTAACCCGTCGAAATTATGACGATATTTTTTTGAAAGGATTTAGGCAAGCATCCTTAAGTACAAGGCTTGAATTTTTTAGCTTTGTGATACAATTAGTAATCTTCAGAATGAATATATGTTTTATTACAAATCTGATCAAAATAATGAAGATAATTACAAATAAAATCTGCTTTCATTTTCTAAAGATATATAAATAATTTAAATTAAACAAATTTTTACACAATATAAAAGTATTATATATTATAATGAGTATACAAATTCAATTATCTAAGCAAAGCTTATCTTTCAGAAAATTAAAAAGATTAATAAATATAGTCAAAGCAAGTATTGGTTAAAGGATGATAAATTCATACAAAATTATAAAAATAGAATTAAAAAATATATCAGATAGAAAATTCTAATAAATATATTCTAGAAAATTATTTTTAAACAAGGATAAGTATTATTAAATTATGAATAATTATAAATTATATTATAAAAAAGATCTAAAAATTCTTAATACTATAATAGATCTATATAAGTTATATTATAAAATAACCAAGAATTATTTTATTACTGAAGAATAAATTAATAAAAAAACTAAAGATTTTCTTAATTTGTAAATATCTACCAGAATGCTAGTTGTGTTTCTTTAATAATCATCAATCTTTTTCTTACAAAAAAGTTTTTCTAATTATATTTATTATTATCTTCTAACCAATATAAAACCAACTAATTTTTTTGCATTAGTAATTCTTTGATATGATAAATTTGTAAGAGATCAATTCATATCAATTTGTATCTTCTTTTACTTTCTAATTTATCAGAATTAAGCAAATATTTTATTAAGATATTATGAGATAATTTAAGTTTATCAAATTCAATAGATTCTTTTTATAACTTGAAAGCTTTAACAAAAACATGTTCTTTTTTTTGAGCTTTAGCAGAGAAAATACCTAGAAGTCAAGTTATAGAATTATCAAACTCTATGAAAGATCTTTTACTCAAGGAGATAATCTTATTTTAACACTATCTTGAATAAAGAATACCTATTTTTGTAATATACAATTAACTTTCTCAATAATATCTATAGATTCTTTAAAATTAACTAGTTAAATTTGAATATCATATTTATTTATTAATATAATAACATTATCTTGAAATTCAATATCTCTATTTATTATTAAAACTTTAACTTTAGATCAAATAATTGAACATATTTGAGAGTTAAAAAATTTTACAAATCCTTTAGTTATACTAGTATAATTATATTTAATTAAAGAATAAGTTTATTTAGTATGGATAGCAATATTTATATAATTAAATACAAATTTATTTTAACATAAAACATATAGCGTAAATCAGCTTGAATAACTTTTATAGGTATGATAATATTATTAAAAATGCTTGTAGAATATACTTAAACTGAAACTTGTAAATTTAATACAAAGTTTATTTGTTTAGCCAATTTTTTATCACAATTAAAATAAATATATATTCTATTATTACCATAGTAACAAGAAATTCTTTAATTCCATAATTTCTTTTAATTTTTACATGAATATCTTATCTATTTTTATTTTATTACATTTATTACATAATTCATACTTTTATTTATATTAAAAATATTAGAAACATTTTAGAACATTATTATTTTATTATTTAATGTTAGAAACATTTTAAAATATTCTTTTGTATTAATTAAAATGTTGGAAACATTTCATTGTGCAAAGTCATGTGTAAATTATTTGTAATATTGTACAATATCATTTTAATGCTTTATAAACATTAAGA